AGCTTACCAGGAGACACATTATGCCTGAAAGGTTGGTCCTCAGTCTGTTGAGAACGTGGCACAAGGCCACCTTACTTCAATCTCAAGCCAAATACATAAACGTGAGCTGGAAGCGCAGAGTTGTGTTGACTGGCAGTGTAATCTTACGATGGTATACGAGGATCCATCAGGTGTGGTTCGACCATGTCGTCATCAAAGGCAGTAGCTCCAGGAGTGTCCAGCCCAAAACAAGTAATCAATACTAGTGGGGCCTCTTGGAGCCCTCTCGGCAGTAATCGTGGCATCTGCACGGCGCACAAGCGCGCGGTTGCCAGCGGTCGCACAAAGACAATTTCAACGGGAACCCAACAGACATACATCTTGTCGTAGTCCAAAGACAAACCACACTCGGCCCAAAAGAAGCCGCATCGTTTGGAGGTCGAGTGCATTCCATAAGGAGCCCAACGGTCTTCAATGGGTGGCTATTCTTTTGGTTTTCAATTTAGTTCCTAACAGAACCTACGCAATAGGAACCCAATGGGGAAGTAATCATCCTATTGGATGCCAAAAGGAACCGATAATATAGCCCAGTAGGACTCCCATGACAATGAAGCTTTGGGTTCCAATTGCCTTCCAGTAGGATGCGAATAGGTATCATACAGGAAGGGATCCGACTGAACGACAAGCGGATTCCAATCGAAACCCGGTGGAGAGGAATTATGATTCATTTGAGTGGAATATTATGGCATTCCAATGAGGTTGCTTTGGATCATATAAGGAACCCAAGCTGATTCCAAAGGGAAGGAGATGCATTCAATTTCCATTGGACCACTGCTATGAGGATGACAGTATGTAGATCCCCTGAAGGGTTCAATCCCTGGCAAGACATGTTCCCAGACTTCATGTGGTTACCTCTAGGACTCCCATAACACATGAGTTTTGGACTCCAATTGCTTTCCGATAGGATGCGAATAGGTATCCAACTGGAAGGAACCGATGGGATGCCAACAGTATCCCAATCGGGATTCTGGGGACAGTCATTATGATTAGAGAGGAATGCTATGGCATTCCAGTTGGGTCGCCTTGGATCCTGTAAGGAACCCCATGTGATCCCAATTGGAAGGACATGCATTCAGTTCCAATGGGATCACTGCTATGAGGATGACAGTATGTGGAACCCCAGAAGGTATCAATCTCCGGCAAGAAATGTTCCCAGTTTCCCGTGGTTGCCTTAAGGATATGCATGGGCATTCTGAGCTCAAGCTTCCCGTTTGCTTTTAACATGCAATTAGGATGGATGCCGGGAATTGAACTTTTCTGTTGGGGATTGAACCTGCTTCCAGGGATTGAGCCCTTATGCTTTCTGCTGGAGATTGAACCTGTCTGCTTGGGATTGAACTCGTCGCGGGTAGGAGGAGGGGGGTAGGTTTCTTAGAAGCACCCCTGCTTCTTAGAAGGCGCGGGCTTTGTCTGTAGATGTAAGGCCGGCGCCTTCCAAGAAGCAGCCTCCTTCTCAGAAGCCTTCTCTCCTCCCCCTACCCCCCTGTGCGCGTCGCCAAGCTGGGGGTTGCCCAGCTGCTGCTGATGATGGGCCGCTCGCGCCACTCCTTGGCGCACGGTGACCTGAGCCAAGGAGCGGAAGAAAGATTGAGGATCGAGTGTCGGAGGAGGATCGGGGAAATGTAAGATCCGAGTACGCCGGAACTCGGGCCCGAGAAGTGCACCTTTCTCTCCCCCCCCAATGTTCGTCCCCCCTGTTCACGCCCGAAGCTGCCAGTCCGACGGCGGCGGCGGCGGCAGCTTCTACGGCGACGACCTCCGAAGGTCTCCAGAGCTCCTGGGGTCCCCTCCGACGAAGGCATCTATACACCACCACCGTGCCAGACGAGGGCCATCCTAGGCCGTAGGATGGTGTGTAGACCTTCCTGGCTCGGCCAGGAGGGCGTATACACCATCCTAGGGCCCAGGATGGCCCTGGCCTGGCACGGTGGTGGTGTATAGATGCTTTCTGCGTATCCCCCGCGGGCACTCCCCCGCAGCTGCCAGAGGGGCCCACGGAGGGCCAGGGGAGCCCCGAAAGGCCTCCGAGCCGCGAGGCACAAGCCCCGACGGCGACGAGGCCGCCCGTCCCTGTTCTTCTTTCGGGGAAGCGTAAGATGGATGATCCTCGGGACGTGTGTTAGCCCAATTGAGGAGGAGGAGGAGGAGGAGGAGGAGGAGGAGGAGGAGGAGGATTGTGTGTTGACCCCGTTCGGCCACACCCGCGGATCCTTACATCCGCCTGGGCCGTGTCGCAGGGCCTCGATGGACAAACACACGTTGGGGCTAGCACACGTTCTGAGGATCCAGGGCTGTTTTTGAAGATTTCGTGGGCCGTTTTCGTTTCGACCTCGTTTTGCGGTAAAGGCGGATTCGAGACACAAGCGAGGGAAAACGAAAGCAAGACAAAAACGAAAAACACTGTTTAGGTCCAGCCCTGTGAGGATCATCGATAAGATTGGAGTGCGCAGGAGCTTGGGCGTGCCGACGCTCCCTGCCGGGCGGGGCCCGGATTCCGACGGCTCCGTCTTCGTGGGCTCTTGGCGGCGGGAGGTCGCGTCGAATTTCGGGTGGGGCTGCGTCCTTCAGGAGGGGAAAACCACACAGACGCAATTCATCATCGATCCCCCAGAAATACAGGAAACTATGGGAAGTGGGAGGGAAGACGAAAACCCTGGAAATATAAGAGAATATAGGGACAACCTTTTACTTGCGTGTATTTGATTGTGTGTCCCAGGGCCCCCTCAGTCATTCTCATGATGGTCCCGTCAGGCCAACCCGAGTCCCCAGAGTCCGAGTCTTTACGCCCCCCCGAGAGGAAACGGTATTCACATATACCGCCCGTGTTCCCCATGTTCGCCCTCCTGGGAGACCCCCGTCGGTACCTCTGGATTTGCCTCGACATGCTGGTCGGGGGGCACCCTGGGAGAGGGCCGGGGTTGGAGTACCATGTGGGACCTGCTCCTAACAGGAACATACCGTAGACGGAATTTTCCTGTTCTCCCACTCTGCACCGCACCGAACGCAACGGCCACGTTGTCCATAGACCTATCCGCCCTTGAAAGTGTCTACCGACGTCACGGCACCCAGCGTGTCCATACTTACGCACGACGAAAGGTTTTCCTCTTGAGGTGAAAATGGTGATGATGAGTTGAAAATTAATGACCGAACCCCCTTCCCCCGTATAATCTTAACACGGGTGGGTTCCGGGGTCTGCGGATCCGATTTCTTTTGGTTCACCGTGCTCATTTAATAATTTAAATTGAAGCCGGGGTAAACATCGGATCCGCCGTACAACATAGGACCGAGCACGGATCCAACAACTCCGAAATCGGATCCGCGCGGACGAAAATCTGATCCACCGAAGCAAATGCCAAAACCACAATCGGATCCGCGCGAACTTCACGGGATCCGACGGCGGTTATCTCATGCGCGTTTGCTCAAGACTTCAAGCCGTCGCTCCGGGCCCAAGGGGAAAACTTACGTCTTGGGGATGTAGACGCTTTGGGCTGGGACCTTGGCACAGTATTCGGTATCGGCCCCAGCTGTTGGCCCTCCGCTAGAAGCAGACAGGCTTGGCCCTCCGAGTCCGCGGAGCAGCGGTATCGGTACCTCTTGTTGGGAGCCTCCCAACCAGGTGGTGAGATATCAGGGGCGCCAGAGGAAGCAGAGCTCCCCGGCGGCAACCTTGGACGGGAGACGTGTCGACCCCTATCGCTAAGTCGGGCCTATCCCCCTACAGGAGGATTTTCCACGAAAAACAAAAAACTACCTCCCCAAAAAAAAACAATCAAATAATAGCCCAAACATAGTTCATATTGACCCGGAATTCCCCCAAACGGCACCACCGGGTCTTGGAGCGCGGGGTCGCCATCGGGCTCCGTGACTCCTGGGCCCACCGGCGTGCGGGACGTCACGAGCCCCCAGACCGGGTGGTGACACCACATCGCCCGAGGGTCACCACCGGGTGTTGTCACCACCAACCCTGGGGGCTACCATTCATTTGGGCCTGTCCCTCTACATTGGAAATATTGAAGAATAGTAAAAACAATTCTGGGGACAATTGTTGTAGTATTTTGGAGCATTGTTTGCGCTTGTTTGTGTATTTTGTTGTTTTTCGTCCAGTATCCTCCTGTAGGGGGACACGCCCGACCTAAGGCTACCACTCTTGCAACTCTTGGTTCCCCCAGAGCATGCGAGGAGAATGCGGGCAAGACATGTGTCCAGATCCAGTGCAGCTTGGAGTTTCGGGCTCCATTCCCTAGAAACCCGAGGCGCCCTGGATCTGGATGAAGATGTGGCCCCTAGAGGACAGATTCTTGTCCACATCCAGTGCGCCTGGGCCTTACAGCGTCCCTTCAAGAAGATACCGAGTCGCACTGGATATGAACATAAATACTGCCCACAGAGAATCGGGCCGGACGAAAGGGGGGGATTGGGAAAGGGGGGCTACGAAATTTGCTGCATGCAGCTGGTTTCGGCCTCACCGAGGGGCCCATTCCTCGATACAGAGCTCCATCCAGCGCCTTGAGGCGCCGGGAAACTCAGCTACGTGAGCTGATTCTCAACCCCCCCCCGTTGCTATCCCCCCCTTTCCTTTCGCCCGACCCGCAGAGAAGTCGGATTCACGCCCGCGGTCCCCTCAGAGCGTGGAGTTATGTCGGGCGTGTCCCCTCTACAGGGGGGTTTTCGACGAAAGATAAAGAAAACACAAAAAAAACACTTCAAACAGGCAAAACAAATATACCAGAAATAGTCCCCAGACTATGTTTGGATTAGTTTTGGATTATTTTTGGGGTATTTTTTATTTTTCGTCGCAAAAATCCCCCTCTGTATGGGGAGGGGGACAGAACACCCAACAGTGACCCGTCGATTAGTGTATTGTCCGTTTTCGGTTCTCGAGAGGGCGCCGCGGCCGTTATTTTCCAGGCTTGCGCCCGCCAGGTCTGGGCCTCAGGTCGTTTTCACTCAACCAGGTTTTACTAAAGGGGGGTCTGTCCATCCCCGACTGTAGGGGAGGGGGACAGGCCCGACCTAAGGCGTGGAGCCGGGCCGTGGGCGCGAGGCCGCCGCCCGGGAGCGCAGCCCGCGAGCGGCGGCGGGGCGCCCGCCCGCCTCTTGCTCGGCAGTGGGCGCCCGTGCGCGCAGGGCCACGGCCGCCCGCGGAGAGTTTCTGTTCGGGCGCTGCGCGGCGCAGCCGCCGCGCTGGCGTGGCGCAGCTCTTCGGCGGGAGGGGGAGGAGGGGGAGGGGGAGGAGGAGGAGGAGGAGGAGGTGAGGAGGAGGAGGAGGAGGGAGGAGGGGAGGAGGGGAGGAGGATGGGGGAGGAGGAGGAGGGGGAGGAGGAGGGGGAGGGGGAGGGGGGACTCCTTCTCCTTCCCCCCCCCCTCGCTCGCCGCCGAGCGAGGCCGCAGAGCTGCTGCGCCGATCCCCCCAGAGCGGAGGCGGATATGCGCCAGCAAGCAGCACGGATGGGCAGAGGACTGCCTCCTCCTCCTCGTCCTCGTCCTCGTCCTCATCGTTATCCTCCATCTTCTCCTCCCCCTGATCCTCCTCCTCTCTCCTCCTCCTCCTCCTCCTCCCTCCCTCCCCTCCCTCCCTCTCTCCCTCCCTCCTCCTCTTCTCTTCCCTCCCTCCCTCCTCCCTTCTCCTCCTCCTCCTCGTGCGTGCAGGCCCAGCCGCCCACGGAGCTTTCCGAGCGCTGCGCTGCTCAGCCGCCGCGCTGGAATGGCGCAGTTCTTTCGACGGGAGTACGTCGGGGGCGGCAAGGAGGGGGATGGTGACGTTCCTCTCCCCTCCATCCAGCAAGCGTTGGCAATCGATGCCCTCCATCATCCCACCACCTTCCTCAAGCGATCGCTATCACTATCTCCCCCAATCATCTTCCCTCCCTCTTCCTTCCCTCAAGCGGTCGCAACCGCCACCCTCTATCACCCCACTAATTTCCTTCCTCAGGCGATCGCAATCGCTACCCTCCATCATCCCACAACCTTCTCCACGCGAACGCTATATGATGCTTCCTCAGACTTCATGGCGCCTCTTCTTGTTTCGTTACGTCCCCAGTCCCCCCCCCCTGGGCCGCGCACATGCCGCCGGCCATGATTTGCGCCCCCCCGCCCCCTCTTGGACGCCCCCCCCCCTCTTGGGCGCCCCCGAGTACAGTGGAGACCCATGCCCAAAAAACACCCTGTGGGTTTCTTGGGCTTCGACGGTTTGTCTTTGGAGAGCGTGGCGTGCCCTTGCCAAACTTCAATGGGCATCCTGGGGTCTCAGGGTTGGGTTTCTTGTGGCAGGTTTCTTGTGGTCGAGCCCCTACTGTATTTCTAACTGCTTGGGCCAAACTTGTTATCCAACCCTGCGGCATGTCTGCTGTCTGGAGCTCTGGGAAGGCAGGTGGGGGGAGGAGGATTCGAAGACATGCTAATGATCACGATGAGCCTGAGACGATTATTGCCCCAAGGTCTGCGCGAGCCTGCAAGACAGGTAGAATCTAGACTCGCGCGATGGTTTCACAAGGCCGAAGGATCGGAGAGGCTACTCCTGATCCAGCTCGAGGGGCTGGGCGGAGCGTCTTGTCAACAGCATGCGCGACTCCGGGTCGGAGAAGTCTGACTTTGCGACCCGCACGCTGGCTAGAACACTGGCTCGGGACTCGGGACATCTCCCTGGGATATCTTCTCCTGACTCGCGAGTGGGCCCACCCGTCTCGTCTCGTGCGTTACAGTGAGTGCCTTCGCTCCAGCGGGCACGCGAGGCAACGCTGATCAGCGATGCGGCAGACCGCCTTTGAATATCGTGAGTTGGCTAGCATACATTTTTCCCATACCGCGACCCTCCCGTGGACTTTTTCCGTGCGTGCGCGAGATCAGGTGGTAGTAGATGGTTACGCAAGTGTAAATATCAATAGTTCCAGTTGCGCGACGAGCAGTGGCATTGTCTTGAAATGATGTGGTGCTTGTCAGCGGCCATCGCTATGGCTTTGTGGCACCCGCTGGTTTTGCGGAAGGGGAAAGCGATTGTCTGCCGCATGGTCAGTTTCCTCGCTCCTCTCGGGGCCGCTGAACGGCGGAAGGGCGCAATGCAATGACGTTTACATCGGCCCTTCAGATAGCTTAGTGCGGGCTGGTTCTTGGGCGCCATTCTTGCGAAGGCGAAGACCCACCCCCACCCCCAGTCCCGACCCCATCTCCGAACCCGCGATCCAGGGGGTCGGACCTGAGGGTGGGGGTTAAGTTTCGCGGTCCAGGAAAGGAGAAAACCAACCTCCACCCCCAGTCCCGACCCTTTAAATCGCAGACTCGGGGATGGGCGTCGGGACTGGGGGTGGGGGTGGGTTTTCGCCTTCTGAATTCTCTTGTGGATGGAAGCCATTTTGCACATGCTAAAACGCTTCCCTCGATCACACCTCCGCGGTTTGCGGGCTCAGGCGACCCAGCAGCTGTCTGCCGTGATCAACGCCTCCAAGGCAGAGCTGGCCGCCGAGGAGCAGGCCGAGGCCGTCTAGTCTGACCTGCTCTTGATCCTTGCCCGTGACGCTGCAGTTTCCCACCAGGGCCCCAAATGTCGTGAGAAACAGAGCAGGCGTCCTTTTTTGGCGATTTCGGCGCGGGGGGCCCTTTCGACCTCTGGGGCTTCCAGGAAGGGGTCGACAGGTTCAGGACCGCGCGTTGAGGAATTACGAGATGTGCGATTCCCAACCTCTTCTGCCATCGCTCATCTGTCCCAACTTGTTCCGTTTTCCATCCCATATCAGAGGCCTCCCGAATGGTGTCGGAGTAGATGGGGTCGGAGGATCGCGCCGCGTCGCCGATGCATTACCGATTCATCGGCGATGCATCCGCCACGTCGGCGATGCATCGACGACGCCGGCGTGGAGAAAATAGGGCTCCACGTCGAGCCTCATCGCCGATGCATCGGCGATGCGGCGCGATGGCCCCATCCGGGAGGCCTCGGCACATCTGACTCTCTTCGTATTGCTGCTGCTCTCTTCCCTCGTCTTCTTCTCTCCATCCTTCTGCTCCCGGTCACGTTCCTGCTCGGACTGCCTCCCGGTCACGCTCCCTGCTCCTTCGATCCCGTCCAAGTGCTAGCATCAGTATGATTTACATTCCGTAGAGTTTTCTTATTGTTGGTTGTATCGAAGATGCACACGGCGAATCACCGCCGCCCCCTGCCTTTTTGGAAGCGCCTATGTGGCCGAACGTTGAGGCCAGACCTGCCAAGCTATCGGACCATGTGTTCCCCGAATCGGTTCGGAAAGCCTTCGGGGAACACGTGGGCATCTTGAAGGTCATCTTGGCCGTCTGGAGGCCACTTTGATTCTTTCGGGCCTTCTTGGAGGACGTCTTGGAGGGCTCTTGGGCCGTCTTGGAGGCCATCTTGAGCGTCTTGGAGGCCTCCAGGGCCGTCTTGGGGGCCTCTTGGGGCCGTCTTGGGCCTCTTGGGCGATCTCTGGGGGCTCTTGGGCCGTCTCGGGCCGTCGGAAGGCAGAAGAAGCAAATGCCACAATCCTTCATTCAAAAACTCATGGGAAAGCAATGATTTTGGCCTTTTCGGTTCTTCCTGGAGGCCCTCTTGGAGGCCTCTTGGGCCGTCTTGGGCCATCTTAGGGCCATCTTCGGCCGTCTTGGTGGGCTCCAGGCCCGTCTGACGCCGTCGGAAGCCGGTTGGGGGGCATCTGTGGGCCGACTTGGGGCCCTCTTGGAATGCTCCAGGGCCGTCTTGGAGGCCATCTTGGGCGTCTGAACGGCCTCATGGGCCGTCTTGGGGGCCTCGTGGGGCCGTCTTGGGGGCCTCTTGGGCCGTTCTGGGGCCATCTTGGAGGCCTCTTGGGCGATCTTTGGGCGATTTTTGGAGGCTCTCGGGCCGTCTCGGGCTGTCGGAAGGCCGAAAAGAAGCAAATACCAAAATCCTTCAAAACCTTAGAAAAAATATTAGTTTTGGCCTTTTCTGGCCTTCCTGGGCCCTGTTGGAGTCCTCTTGGGCCTTCTTGGGCCAGCTTCGAGCCAACTTCGGCCAGCTTGGTGGGTTCCTGGCCCGTCTGACGTCGTCGGGAGCCGTCTTGGAGGCCATCTTGGGCGCCTTGGGGCCGTCTCGGGGGCCTCTTGGGCCGTCTTGGGGCCATCTTGGAGGCCTCGTGGGCGATCTTGGGGCGATCTTGGGGGCCTCTTGGGCCGTCGTGAGCCGTCTTGAGCCGTCGGAAGGCTGAAAAGAAGCAAATGTCAAAATCTGTCAAAACCCTACAAAGCAATGATTTTGGCCTCTTCGGGCCCTCCTTGAGGCCCTCTTGGAGGCCTCTTGGGTCGTCTTGGACCGTCTTGGAGGCTTCTTGGGCGAAATTGGAGGTATCTTGGACTTTTTTGGGCCGTCTTGGAGGCCATCTTGGACCATCTTGGGCGGACTTGGAGGCCTTCTTGGGCCATCTTGGAGGCCATCTGGAGGCTGTCTTGGAGGATTTGTTTTTCCAGATTGGGAGCTTTCCAGGTGGCCGGCGGGACGCACCGGAGCCCCAGGCGGAGTTCTTTTGGAAAAGAACCAAAATCAAAACGATAGGATTTGGCACGCCAGGCACCCCTCTTGCAAGTAACAGGGGGCGGCGGAGCGAGGTACGAGTGATGACGTTGTGCTTTGGGCGAAGCCCCTTAAGGGGGGGTTCCATGGGGGGGCGTAGCGCGGACGTTTGGGCTCTAAAGGCCGTTTTCGGGTTTTCCCTTGGGTTTTTGCATGTTGTTCGGGTTCTCCCCCAAGACGGCCCAAGAGCGCTCCGAGAGAGCCCAAGACCGCCCCAGGACGTCCCAAGAGGCCCCCAAGAGGCCCCAATCCGTAGCCATTTTGACTCAAGCCGCATCGAGATTCGTTGTTGGTTTTCCCGAGGGCAGGCGAGCCCGAACCGATCAGCTTGACTTTGGTCTGCGGGTGGGGCTCGCGCAGCTACGGCGTCTGCGATCACGACCCGCCAGGCGTTTCGTAATGCTGTCCTGGGGCTCGTGGTGCTTGCCCTGGGTGCCGTTCTCGAGCTCCCTCGTGGCGCGAACGGCGCCGGCGTGCTAGCGCACTCCTACATGGACGGGCCCAGGGTGGACAGCGAGGCGTGGGCGGGGCACTGCCACCCGCAGTTGTTTGGCCAGCAGGAGGCGGAGGCAATGTGCAGCTCAGATGTAGCCTGCACGGTCATCGTCTCCACGGGTTGCGGCAGACCGTTTTGGCGATACTGCTTCGATGACATCACTGGATTCCGGTTCGCTTCAACGACGCCGCTCAACGCGTTTGAGTCTTGCACCAGGTATCACGAGGGGAAGTTGGCCAGCGTCCAGCTTCTTCCATACTCTTCTGCAGGTGATGTAGTATCTTCTATTGTTTTAGGATTGGGGCCAAACCGGGCATTGCTCGACGTATCTAGTACGGCCACACTGAACAGTACAACGACAATGACCAGTGCCACAGAGACAAGCACCACCACCATGACCAGCACCACCACCTTGGTCAGCACCACCACCTTGACCAGCACCACCATGACCAGCACCACAACCGTG